GATGAACAATATGTATGGGAGCTATAGCTATATCTGAACCGATTTTTACCAACATTGACATACTTGTTTCTATGCTCAATATTGTCGTAAGTGCCAAATTTCGTCCCATTTGTGCAAATAATATACGTTTGGTGAACAATAAAAGGCAAATCGGACGAAGATATATATGGGAGCTATATCCAAATCTGAACCGATTTCGATAAAATTTGGCTAAGGTATTTCTGAGTTGTAATTGATATATTTCCTCGAATATCGTTGTTACAGAGTGTATATTATGGCTGTGGAGAACAAATATAACAAATCGGAAGAACAATATGTATGGGAGCTGTAGCTATATCTGAACCGATTTCTATCAAATTTGGCATACTTATTTTCAGGCTTAATTTGGTCGTGTGTGCCAAATTCCGTCCCATTTTGGCAAATAATATACGTTTGGTGAACAATAAAATGAAAATCGGACGAAGGTGTATATGGGAGCTATATCTAAACTTTGACCGAATATCTTCAATTTCAATAGGGTTCGTCCTTGGGTCAAACAAATGACTTGGGCCAAATTTAATCTGGGTCGAACAATAAATGCGACCTGTACTTTGTTTACAAATATACATGGGCAGACAGAAAGGCGGACATGCGGGCCGACATACATAAATCGACTCGGAATGTGATTCTATGCAGATCATCAAAAGGAACTACGGGTCTATCTCGTTTCCTTTTGCCTATTACAAACAAATGCACAAAGACATAATACCCTGACTACATTGTGGTGTAGTGTATAACAATTTTAACTAACTTTTAGTATATTATCAGAGTGGCCAGACTTTCACAATTTTTGTTTTCTCAAAATATTTGGAAAATTTGGTTTCCGTTTGAGACGCTTAGATTTACCTATAGTCATCATGGATTTACGCAAATTACCACCATAAAGGTGAGAATACATAAATCGCTTTTTTGACTGACTTAAGTCCTCAATTGGCTTCTTCGTAAATGAACAAAGGTGTTTTAGGTTATCTAAGATCAATTTCGACCCCTACGCTCCATTGTTCTTTTACAAGGGAGCCTGCCGATGACTTAAGACAGTCAACATAATCGTTTTATGTATTTCCACCTTTTATTCTCGAATGGAGTATGAACGATATCGAAAATGTATGTGTTATATTTTTTCTTGGTAGAATTAAAAAGGTAAATTCACATGTTTATATATTTTTTTTAAATCATACATCTCGTCATTCGCCTCAATGATTCAAATTTGGCGCTCAATCGGTATTACAGAAATATGGCAATACTGTTCCCATTACTAGTTTTTTTTTTATAATCTCTTGGAAAAATAAATGATTACTCTCATCTTTCTTTCATTCTCTGATTAAAGATTTTATCCCCACAAAAATAGAAGCCATACAACTCTCCTTTATTTTTGTCAAAGTACGTGTGAAATGTTAACTACGATTTGTTGTTAACTGTTATATATATCAAAGTAAAACGTGTTCACCTTAATGAGAACAAAAGAATTTCTTATGATGACATTTAAAATTGGCGGGTAATTGATGAATGCCACAACAGCTGATATGGCAACACTGTTGCCATTACTATTTTTCATTAATCCCTTGCAAAAATAATAGTTACTCTTTCCCTCACACTCGTTGAAAATAGTTTGTTTCCATCCATAGCAAAAGAAAGAAGAAGCCATAAAACGCTCTTCTTTTATCTTGATTTTTATCAAAGTATGTGTGAAATATGCACGACGAATTATTAACTGTTATACATGCCTCAAGTATATATTAAGATTGTTAATTAATTATCAATAATATGGTGGAGGTTTTTCTTACGTCTTTTACAATGGCTGACTACTATACTTATTCTCTCTCCTTCTCTCTGTGTCAGTAATCCCCCTCTTTCTCTCTTAGAAAATAATAGTGGAAAGAAAATAAATTGTAATTCTTTTCGGTTTGTCAAACAAACAATGAAAATCATTTTTATATATTTTTTTTGTGTTATAGTTTTTTTATACTTAACCAGTATTTTGTGTAAGAGTGTGCGTGCGTGTGTGTGTGAGCGGTGTGGCGAGCACACAAAGCATAAAAAGAAAATGAACACAAAATGGAATAAAAACGATATAACAAGCAAGCAAGCACAAGCAACCAACCAACCAACGCGCCACCAAACAAACAACAACATGCGGTCGGTCTGTCGGCTAAACGAATGTTTGTTTTGTTGTTGTTGCTGCTGTCGTTCGTGGCTGTTGTATGATGAGCGAACGAGCGAGCGAGCCTTTGTTGCCGCTGCTCAGCAGCATATGAGTGCCGTATTGTGTCTGTGTGTGAGTGTGTTTGTGTAGTAGAAGAGCCATACCAAAGCAAACGACGTAATAAATATGGAAAATAAAAAATTATATACAAAAATAATTGTTTTAAGAGTTTAGTTTTAACTTAAATGCGGAAGAGTGCATACCTACTCTAAGACACTGAGAAAGACGACAAACTAACGGCGGCGACGGCTGATGAAATTTCTTCTTGTTCTTGGTGTGCGAAACAAAACATAAGAAGAACAAGAGGAGATATTTTTTTGGATTATCATTTTCATAAAGAATTAAAAATTCAAGAAGAAAAAACAATAAAGCGCTGCAATCAATTTTTATTAAACATAGGGTAAGTAAAAATATTATTTAAATAAATTTTGTTTTCTATTGACTTAAAATTTTCAAACAAAAATTATTGTAATTTTTTTTCTGTATTCACTTAATTTTCATTTTAATTAATATGTGTGTTACGGGGTATACAAAAAATTTTCCATTTTAAAGTTTTTGTTTGTTTAAACACAAAAAAAATTATAGTAATCATCATTTTAATTGTTTGTGTTAATGTTGTTGTCGTTGTTGTTGTTGCTGCTGCTTGTGAAATAATATACAACCTTTATAAATATAAAGTTTATTTTAAATTGATTTTTTTCTCTTGTGTTTTTTGTACTTTGTATGCGATTTATTATAACAAGCACAAGCAAGCAACGAAAAATATGAAAAAAAATAATTACCACCAACCATTGTGTGTTTGGCTGTCGGTTTGTCTGTCTCTGCCTGCCTGCCTTAATAAAAACATAAAACCCGAGAGAGTTAGTTTGACAATGGTACTCACTCATTTGCTTTACCGTATGTTTGTTTGTTGTTGGCTGCTACAGCAGCAATAGAAACTGAGAGCGGCACTCAGCATTGTGTGTGTGTGAGAGAGAGTATACAATGCTGCCACCACCAAATCATACTACTTCTCTGCTTTTCCATTCCACACTAATTTAATGCAAAGGTACAAGAACCCTATTAAATAGTTACCTGTAATAATAAGTGATGTCGATAGGTGCGATTTTTTAAAAATCGCCAAAATAATATAATTGTTTTAAACTATGCACAGTGAGTGAGTTATACAATATATTTGACTATGGAAAACACGATAAATTTATTGCGATTGGTCGGTCTAACACTTCAAAAATATGTATGAAAAACGTGATATGGGAAGGAATTTGAATGAGTTGAAGTCACTATTTTCAACCCTCTCCCCTTAATACTCACTTTTCTTTTCGACAAACCTGGGAATTGGAACTAACAACTTAACAATGATTCCCTTATTAAAAAGAAATTTCAATTGTTGCGATTTTTTAGATAGTCAATATAAAATTCTTATTTTAGATTTTGCATATAATAGCTAAGATTTTGCATAGCGTAGTCTTTTTTCTACAGGTGGGTCAAATTCGAAGATTAGCTATGGGCAAGAGTTTAAAATCTGTTCTTTAGAGTTCATGTAGACATGACACAACACTTTGTATTGTATCTAGGATGGTTGGTATTGAAAATGAGATGTATCGGTCCACGTTTTCGTATAGCCGCCATATAACGGTTCCTCCCGATATTCTTTTTTTTTTTTTTGATGATTATCGCCACATTTTTTTTCCACAGATTTCTCTAAAAATTGGTATTTGTAGGTCATTATTGGTTCTAGCTCTGGTGGCGAAATATTGTATGTATAGGTCCACGTTTTTTTTATAGCCCTCATATTGCAGTACCTTCCGATATTCCGTATTATGATGATTTTTCCACGAATTTGTCTAAAAATTGGTATTTGTAGTTCATAATGGGTTCTAGCTCCCATTGGCAGAACTTTGAATATTTAGATCCACGTTTTCCTATAGCGCATATATAACGATACCCACTGATATTCTGTATTTTGATAATCCTAGTCACATTTACCTTCGAAATTGTTTCAAATTTTGTATTTAAGAGGAATTGGTAGACGACAATCTTTGAAGTTTAAAATTGTCTATAGACGACTTTCCCGTTTTGGTATGGCCTCCATATAAAGGCCTAAAAAACTTTGAAGAAAAACTTTTTTGAGAATTTTAACAGCATTACCTTTATATAATTTTTTTTATTTACCCAATGGTGGAGGGTATTGAAAGTTCGACCCACGTGTACTGATTTTTTTTTTACTTGTTTACATAGAACACTAACAGTAATTAAAGTTTGAATGTCAATACACAGCAAAAAACCGCTCCATTGGCATTATTTTTATTCTAGCCATGCGTTGGGGAGAGTTCCCTCGCTCATTCTCCTTCATGTGGCGCCTCTCACTGTGTTTTTCACAGTACCCCTTTTTAATAAATTAACGTTTATCTCTCACTCTCCATCGACCACCTTCTCTCACACTCTTTCGATTTATGGCTCTCAAACATGTGAATATTTTATAATTATTGTTTTTTGTTTCTTCTTAATTAAAAACAAGCAGAGAAAAGAGATAGAAAAAATATACATTTATTTTTTTTATTATCAAATCAAAAAAGCTCTTGTTATTATTTAAATAAGAATATTATTTATCGACAGAACAGCGAGCGAACGTTGAGTCAATAGAAAAACAATTTTTACAACTTTGAATAAAAAAACACAATTTTTATATAATAAAAATTTAATTTTATTGCAGACACAAAAAGAAAATAAATCAACAACAACAATTTATTGACTATAAATTACTACAAATCGCCATTTATTTTATTGCGGCTTCAATCTGGCGCTCTACACTGAATACCAACCACGTCGTGGTCGTCCACGTAACTCTTTGCCTCAAATGGGTGAATTCGATTTAAGTTTAATTGAAGAATTCCGTCAACGCACCAGCCTCTATGATCGCAATTCGCTGCAGTTTAAGGATAAGCTGTACAATGCCCAGCAGTGGCAGGAGATATCCAATAAATTGGGCTATGATGGTGAGTTGGGATCATATAAATGTGGAAATGTGGCGAACTGGGGAAATGTGGTAAAGATGTTATTCTTTTTGTTTGTAATTTTTTTTTTTATTTAAATTAATTGAAGTTCAATTGGTTATGATTTCAGAGCGAGATGAAGTTGAGGCTTTTTGGGCAAATATTATGCTTTGACATTTAGTTTGGAGATAGGTATTGGGGTGTTATGCGAGCAGGTTTCTTGTTGACAATATTTATATTATGGTGCTATGGTGGTGTTGTAACTTGTTAGTTGTCAGTTAGTTGAGGCCTTCATTGCCAGGGTCATACCGAAACAAAATTTTTCTGTCGAATCCGTCGACTTACTCAGTAGATAATTTAGTTTTAGGCTTTGAACAGTCCAATAATAAACTTGTGAACTAAAGCACAATAGCGTGAGCAAAGAATTTTAAAGGTTATACGTAGTCTTTAGTAGACTTAGTGATCCAGTATCCTGAATGCCCATTGCTAAACAAAATGCACCGAAAAATCCCACAGCTCCGCTACAAAACACATGATATTGGCAGACACCAGTAATTATTAACGGGTAAGAATAGACCACCATTTGACATCGTTAGAAATCAGGCTCCACATCAAAATAGACGCCATAATCCAAACTTCAGTCTTAGCAATAATGTACTTTGCCCAAGATGTTGTTGGGTGAGAAACGGAATAAAGCTTTTTTTCCAAAAACTAGCTATTCAGAACTTTGATTGGAAGTCCAAATAAACCTTTTCGCTTTCCCATAAAAATATGTTTTAAAATAGGTGGACTCAAATTTGGTCTCTAGAAAGAAAGGGAAGACTTTTTGTCATCAACTCTCAGATAAACTTCCGATCTTCTATGAAAATTGTTGAGGAAAAACTACATTGGGCTCTTCTATCAGAAGGACGCATGACCCCAAATTGGAGGTAATAAAAATCTCCTTGAAAGGTCTCTATGGACCAAATCCGTTTTAGAACATTTGGAGTCGATCTAGCGATGTCCGTCCGTCCTTCTGTCCGTCCTTTTACTGCACAGAAAGAGAAAGAATAATCCGATTCTGCTCCAACTTTGCAAATCGTAATATTTTCATCAGTGCTATATCAGGTGCGAAAATGAACAAAATCGGTCCATCCAGTACCACCTCCCCCATAAAGAGTCAGAATTTTGAATAATTATAACTCTTATAAAATGTGATATCAGAGTCCGATTGTCTTGAAATTACACACATCACAATATTTTTATTAACACAAGATCTGGTGTGAAGAAGGACAATATCGGTACACACCTTCTTGTACCTCCCACACAAAGGGTCAACATTTTGAATAATCATGAAGCTCATAAAACACGAAATTAACATCCGTTTCCATTAAGATTTGGTAAATCTCAATATTTTGATCAAAACAAGATCTGTTATAAAGATGCTAGAGATCGGACCATTTCTTCTGGTACCTCCCCCACAAAGAGTCAAAGTTTTGAATAACCAAAATGATTAAAAATTCCGAAATAAGCATCCGGTTCTCTTCAAATTTCACACATCCCATTATTTCTACTAACACAAGACCTGCTGTGAAGATGGAATATATCGGTCCACTCCCTCTGTTAGCTCCCCCATAAGGGGTTAACATTTTGAATATCTATGAAGCTCATAAAACGCGAAATTAACATCCGATTCCATTCAGCCTTGGCACATCTCAATATTTTTATCGACACAAGATCTGTTTTGAAGATGGTAGAGATAGGACCATTTCTTCTGGTATCTCCCCCACAAAAGGGTCCAAATTTTGAATAACAAAAACTAGCATAAATTCTGAAATAAGCATCCCGTTCTCTTCATATTTCGCACATCACAATACTTTTATTAACTTAAGATTCGCTGTGAAGATGGGATGTATCGGTTCACTCCTTCTCGTACCTCCCCCGCAAAGGGTCAACATTTTGAGTACCCCTAAAGCTCATAAAACTTGAAATTAACATCCGATTCCATTCAGACTTGGTACATCTCAATATTTTTATCGACACAAGATCTGTTTTGAAGATGGTAGAGATCGGACCATTTCTTCTGGTACTTCCCCCACAAAAGGGTCCACATTTTGAATAACCAAAACTAGCATAAAATCCGAAAAAAGCATCCCGTTCTCTTCAAATTACACACACTACAATATTTTTATTGACCCAAAATCTGCTGTGAAGATGGGATATATCGGTCCACTCCTCCTGGTACCTCCCCCGCAAAGGGTCAACATTTTGAGTACCCTTAGAGCTCAAAAAACTTGAAATTAACATCCGATTCCATTCAGACTTGGTACATCTCAATATTTCCATCAAAACAAGATCTGTTGTGAAGATGGTAGAAATCGTACCATTTCTTCTGGTATTCCCCTCATATAAGGTTGAAGATTTTGAAAAACAAAACGTCCGTAGAAAACAAAAAAAAAGCATCCAACTCTCTTCGAATTTCACACTTCCAAATATTTCTGAAGATGACATATATCTGCGAACCCCTTCTGGTGCCTTACCCATAAAGAGTCACAATTTCCAATACCTATATATCTGTCATAACCTGCGAAAGCAAAAATTCTCCATAATTAGATATTCTATAACAATGAGACATGTTGCCCTTCTATAGTGACATATTTCTTCTTCTAGATTTCACTGAAATTGCAAATTATTCATTAGCGAAATATCGGAAAATAAATGAAGATCTACACTGACCTCAAGCCCTTAAAAATGTCCATTAGTTTAAAACACTACATTTTTAACTTTCTTTAAAGGACCCTGGTAAATATTAAATACATTTCACAGGCATTGCAAAACAACCCTTTCGAATGGAATACTAGCTACACACACCCAACAATATGCAATGTGCATGACTCATCTATTCCCTGCCTGTATACATATCAACTGGTCACTGAGTGTCACTTTCACTTGTCGATACTGGACACTTTCAATTGAAATGAATTAAAAAACAAATTTTACTCTCATTTAAAGGCATTTATTCATAAAAAGGGTTGTTGTTGTTGTTGGCAAAGCTTTTACTACTATGATACGCCAGCAGACCCCAAAATAGATTGATAACTAATTTTTGCCACAACGAAATGATTATGCAGGATATATGGGGATGGTGGAATGGCCTTTACTTTTATAAACAACAAATGCATTCGTCGCCACACACACATGGCAAATACACACAAATACTCACATGCATATATGCATTTTTGTGTGCAAGTTGTAAAATTTAAAACCCCTAAAAGCTCTGCTGCTGGAGGGGGGCTGGCTTGGGGAAAGGGGGAAAATGCATTTTTTTAGAATTTAATGAATGAATGCATAAAATTCGAACACATGTTTTCCTGGCGCCCAAGGGTAAAACCACAATAACAACATGTGTTTGAAGGTAGGCTCCTCCTCAGCAGTCATCCTCCACATGGTCTCGCCACAATGAATTTCGTTTCTGTTTTTAAAAACAACAAAAATAACCTATTTTTTATCTCCCATTTAGTTTCCATCCTAAAGGATCGCATGTTACAGCTACGTAATCGTTACAATTTGGAAAAGCGCCGCATGGAACAGTTGCGTGAAGAGGTTCCAGGGAAATATCATGAGTCCCCCTGGCCTCTGTACGATAGCCTACAGTTCCTATCGAATCACATTAAGGCCCGGCGCAGATATAAAAGCATCTTGCCGGTGAATAACAATCACAAAGAGGAAGATAGTCAAATGAATGATTCGGGTAATGATTACAGTGCCATGGGACCAGATGATAATGCCGCCATGGTGGATGATGATGGCGATAGGGATGAGTCACAAAGTGGCCTACAGCCATATCCTAATGGTTTGCTAACCGTTAAGGTGGAGGATGATGCATCCGAGGAACAAGGATCCGAAGAGGAGGCGTAAGAAAACAACATTAATTTTTAAATTCTAGTATTAATCTAATAAATATTTATTTCGAACTTTACAGGGTTGAGTCCACAAATGACTATGGCCAGCAAATGCTGCAGCGTCAACAACAACAGCATTTGCAGCATCAGCAGCAGCAACACTTACAGCTTCAGCAACAGCAGCAGCAGCTGTTGTTGCAAAGGCAATTGGCCCAGCATCAGCAGCAACAACAACTACAACAGCAGCAACAACAGAACTCTCGACACTCAGCCCGCATTTCAAAACGTCACAACAACAGCCACTCCAACCACAATCAAAATGAAAATCAACGTCCACTCAGATTACCTCAGCTAACATCTACCCCACTGGCAGGTGGTAATGCTGGCGCCGCCACAAAACGGCCTCATGACAATGATGAGCTTTACAATGGTGTTACCGCTTCTAAGATAGCACGTTCTTCAAATCCACGAGAAAATAAATACAATGCATTTGGCAACTTCATTGCCTCTTCATTGCTGGATTTACCCCAAAAAATGGCCTTGGAATTAGTGGAGAAATTCACCTCAGACATTGTTAGGGCCTTAACCACGAAAATGGACATAATGGAGGCTAATGCGGCGGCAGCAGCTGAAGCTTCAAACACAAATGACGATCATCAGCAGCAGCAACAGCAGCAGCAGCAGCATCATCTGCAGCATCGTAATAATCATCTACAAAACAGTGAACAATGAGATTTACTACAAAATCATAAAATGACTTATAATTTATTATGCATACACCTACATACATACAACCACATACATACATCCGTACATTCTTTTACAAATGTAAGAACGTGTTTTTTATATTAAAAATATATAATTAGTTTCCCCGATATTGTCTAAGAATTTGGGTGTGTTTTTTGGGTGTGATATGTTTTTTTGTGCCGGCATGTTTTGTATAGCCCACTGTGAGAAGTATTGGCGTTTTTAAGAAAATTTGTTTAATATATTTTGAGAATTCTGGAACAAGAGTTGAAATCTATGAAAACAACAATTAGTCCTTAAGGACTAGGTTGTCAAGCCTTTCATAAAATAAGTTAAATAGTATCAGTCGGTTTTGCCGACAGTTGTATACACCCAGCTTTACTGCCGGAGTGGACAAATTGAGGAAATATTTTGCCGACGGATGTATGCCCCCGGCCTTGAGTTATGATTATTCAAACTGTTGACCCTTTATGGGGGGAAGTTCCGAAGTAGTTGGCCAATATTAACCAATTCGTATTTGACCTTAGACTGATATAAATATTACAACGTGACAGATTTGCACTATATCGACTACTTCCTGTATTTTATATGAAATATTTGCATATTTTAGGAAAATGTGGAAAAATGTGTGAGGTAACAGATATAGCGGATCGAAGTATTCTATTTTCATACTTCATCTAATACAGATAGAAATATTGGTATGTACAAAATTTTAAGGAAATCGAACACTTATATTCAATTTTATGCGAAATCATACATTTCGATAAAATGCATATTCATGTCAGATTTTTGGTTAAGAGAAAATCGCCAAATTGTTTAGCAAGTTATGACAGACATAAGTATTAGAAATTGTGATCCTTTGTGGGTGAGGTACCAGCAGGCGTTGACAGATGTATATCATCTACACAACAGATCTTGTGTTTGCAAACATGTTTATGTGTGAGAAATTTGAGGAGATGGATGAATAGATTTAAATGCTTATTTTGTTTTCTTTGAACGTTTTGTTTATTCAAAATCTTGAATCCTCTGTGGGGAAGGTAGCAGAAAAAATAGTCCGAGCTCTACCACCTTTATAAAATATCTTGTGTTGATGGAAATATTGAGATGTGTCAAGTCTGAATGGAATCGGATGTTAATTTCCCGTTTCATGAACTTCATAGATATTAACAATTTTGACCCTTTGTGGGGGAGCTAACAGAGGGAGTGGACCGATGGATTCTATCTTTACAGCAGATTTTGTGTTAATACATATAATGGCATATGTGAAATTTGACGAGAACCAGATGCTTATTTCGATTCTATGATTGTTTTGGTTATTCAAAATGTTGACCCTTTGTGGGTGAGGTACCAGAAGAAATAGTCCGAACTCTACCATCTTTCGAACAAATCTTGTGTTGATGAAAATATTGAGATGTGCCAAGTCTGAATGGAATCGGATGTTAATTTCGCGTTTCATGAGCTTCATAGATATTCAAAATTTTGACCCTTTGTGGGGGGAGGTACCAGAAGGAGTGTGCCGATATATTCCTTCCTACCAGACCTTGGGTTAATAAAAATATTTTGATATGTGTAATTTGAAGACAATCGGACTCTGACATCACATTTTATAGGAGTTATAATTATTCAAAATTTTGACCCTTTGTGGGGGAGGCAATTGATGGAGTGGACCAATATTGTCCATTTTCGCACCTGACCTAGCACTGATGCAAATATTAGGATTTGCAAAGCTGGAGCCAAATCGGATTATCCTTTCTCTTCTTTTCTGTGCAGTAAAATATTTTCTTTGAAAATTTCTACGTTTTGTGGGAGGGGTACCAGAAGGAGTGGACCGATATTGCCCATTTCCGAACTCGATCTAATTTGATAATAATACTACAATGTACTAAGTTTGGACCAAATCGGACACTAGATGGACTCCAAATGCCCTACAACGGATTTGGTTCAAAGAGACCTAGGGTCTCAAACAGTTATTTTTATGAGACACCTTTGGAGCGTATCTCTCTCTCTCTCTAGGCATATGGCTGAGAGTATAATTAACCAGTTATGGTTTATAATAAATCGGTATTCTTCCTATAGATTTCCTCCCATTTAGATTTCTTTAAAAACTTTTTGGTGTTCTGGGAGAAGTTTTGTCTAAGTGTAACATAAAAACTGTTAAGGGTTTCGAATATTTCAGAGGATTTAGTTCTGAGTAAGTAATGACGGAAAGAAAGGCCAGTTACACTTGGAAAAAACTTCTCCCAGAACACCAAAAGGTTTTTAAAGAAATCTAAATGGGAGGAAATCCTACAGGAATAATTCCGATTTATAATAAACCATAAGTGGTTATTTTTTATATGAAATCAAGATACCCCTTTGAAGGACTAGAAGAACTGTCCTTAGGATACTAGAATACGAAAATCTCTGTAAATTCTCCCTCTTTTTTTTCTTTTCAAAAAACATACAGAGCTGAAGAAAGCACGGAAATTTGGAGTAACCTTATGTAGGCCCAACTTGATATGGTACAAACCGCCGTAAATACGGGACGTCTAGGAGGTGGAGTGTTATAGCCCCTCATACTTGGTCAGTAATATTGGACCTCAATTCTTTTTCTATGAAAATGTGAAATGAAAACTTTTATAAAGGAAAGAAATTTCAAAAGAAAAATATTATAAAGGAAATATTTTTCATTTAATTTTTCCATAGAACAAGAAACCAGACCCTGGTCGGATAGTTCTTAAAAAAATTTGTTAAAAAATCACATTTCCTGATCTGTTGGCACTTGAAGGAAATTCTTTAAAATCCAAGTTTAATGGCTTGTTTGCCATTAAAAGGAAATTATTATGAGTCCAAGACTGTGTTTGGCCTTGGAAAAAAAATATTTTTTTTTTGACTGTTAGTCCACTTTTAAAGGGTCTTTTAAAAATTCACGTCCATTGGTCTGTTAAAAAAAGAAATTCACATAAGTTGGTCTCTTCTTGATTTCTTTAATAAAAATTTCCAGAGCCCTAATGTAAATTTTAAACATACGAAATAAAAAAAATTGGGATACTTCCATAAGATCGACATTTTGAGATCTCGTAATTTTTTTATTGTTTCAGGACCTGCAAGAATCTACTAGATTAACAATTTTTTCCGATAATTATAATAGTAATGGTTGGTTGTTGCTGTTGAATTCTATTTTTTTTTTGTAAAGGACTGACAAATTTTTATTAAAATTATTTAATATTTTTCAAGGACGAAAGGGTTTTTAGGACAACAAGATATAAACCGTGGAATTTTAGAGAAAAAACTAAAAATGTCTTATATTTTTTAAAGAAAATAAATTTTTAAGTATAAACGGACACTTAGTGGTTGCATTTCTTAAGAATATTTTTTCAAAGACTAACAGAGAACCTAAAGGTTTTAGGTATTATTTTTAAGGACCAAAGAATACTTGTCCACGACAAAAGTGTAAATGGAATCTTTTATAGTTATAAAAACTTTAACATTCTTGCAGTTCTGGAACAGACCACATTTATCACAAAGGGACTTCTTGATTTGGTATAAATGTTGTATATCATTATATTTTTTTTCAAACATTTCGTATTTCCGAAAAGTTGGTTCGTTCACTCTACCATGGGTGCCTCTTTGACATAGGGAATTATAGATTCTGTATTGGACGAAGAGAATATGAAAAAGTCAGTAAAATAATATATTTTGCGCGAAAAAATTCAGCTTTATAAAATCAAGGTTCCTAGATATACCCTAAAAAATCATATATTCTCTGAATCGGTTGGTAAATATATTTAACAAAATGTTTGTGTGTTCATGTGTGAATTGTGTGATTAAAAGTGATGATAAAACTGCTTTTTAACCCCTGCTCCACAAGTCAAAATTACGTAGGTCGTGCCTTGTGCTTATTTGTTATTTTTGTATTTCCAAATCAAATTGCACTCGTCCCGGCCTGCAGATAATTGACAAAAGACATCACGCTCGGAGCTAAGACCTGTAAAGATGAGTGAAAAGAAATTTCGTAATTAACAAGTGATCTATACTCCTCTTTCCCCCAAAAAGGCATTAAAAGTGAGGTAAGTTTGAAACATTTTATTTTTTTTTTATTAATGACCTCCAAAATACAATAATAACTACCCCTCTCTTTTCTATTTTCTCCCCAATTTATAACAATCTCAGGAGCCTCCCCTCTAAGAAGGAGTATTTGATTGATCATTATTGCCTGCAAATTATCTTATCTTAAGGCGGCCCAGCATTTCTTCCATTTCTCCTGCTGTTGCTCTTTATTGATGATGATTATGTGCTGCTCTGCTATACACCAAAGGCCGTCAAAATGAATACAACAACATCCACCAACAATTATATTTTGCATGTGTGAAATGTTGCCGCACGCAGACGCGCCCTGTAATTATATCATTTAATAAAATTGCTACATCTGCATAACGGACAGAAGAGGAGACGAGCGAGCGACGGCGGATACGCCTCGAGGACACTTGATGAGAATGCATGCAAGCTTGACGGGCTGCTACCTCTTGAGCACATGTTTTGTGTTTAACCACAAAAGCATTTCCAAAAAAAAAAAAAGAAATAAAAGAAAAGAAAACCACAAAAATTAAAATACGAATAAGGAAAATAATTTGAAGTTTTAGAAAATACAGTTGCAAATGAAAATATAGCACAGCCGCATGGTACAATAGGTTGCAAGGTAGGCTACATAACCCGATTTGCGAAAATCATTGTGCTACGGCGAATCAAATAAAATCCAAGACTGAAATTTAACACAATATCCGGAAACTTAAAGAAAATCGATATCTCTCTAAAGTACTTCTGTGTGTGTGCTTCGACGAATACAAAATAGCCAACAACAAAATCAAATCTAAAACCGGCATGACAGATTTTTTACAAAATAGAACACAATTAGAACCAAACAATATGTATGTTTTCCAAAAATTATTTAATGAAAAAGGTTTGGGTGGCAATGCCAAAAAAATTATAATTTGAAATTCAGAGCATACTTTAAGGCGTACAATTACTTTGGGTAAAACAGTACTAACGGGCTTGAAAAGAAAACCAGTAAAATTCGAGCGGTGCCGACTTTATGATACCCTACACCCTTTTTCATATTAAGCAGAGCTTCATATAACAAATAAAAGAATATAACAAATCGG